GTCGAATATTGGGTGAAACTTCCCAGCTGATTCAGAAATGTACATGTGTAGTTACTGGAATTAGGATAGCCAAGGTCCCTTTGAAAAATTACACCACTTAAGTCTTAGAATTATCATAAATCTCTAGTAATTATAACTATGACACTAACATAAGCATAGAGGCCTAATCTAATACACAGGATTGAGAAACCACAAGTACCCCTACAAACACATCATTGGCTTTCAAATTTGCTGCCAAAGTAATTCCATGGGAAGCTCATTCTCCATTTGGAGGGGTGACCCACCATAAGGGTTAATACCAAGACTACAGACCCAAATTCAGCCCACCATGTTGACTGAAGTATAGGCTCTTTAATCCCATAGCAACCATTTCTTCAATAAGCCCTGAAAATGTAGGGACTAGATTGCACGTTGTCCCCTAATTTGCTCAGAGTAATTTCCTTGGGCTTTTACTGTGCTCCACCATCAAGGCCAGCTCTTGCCTCAGATGGGAAAGTGTCGTTCATCAGAATGTCTTTTAAACTCCTTCAATATCATCTATTTCAAGGGTTTTACTTTTGGCTTGGTGGCCTGTGGTTCACTAGCAGCAACTCAAATTGCCCATAACAGAAGCCATCCTCCCGCCATGGTAACTTGCTGCCCTCCCTTAGCACAGTCCAGTAAACAACCGCGCCAAACGGAACAGTATTCAGACCGCCCTCGAATTGCCCCTAGGAACCTTGGAGCTTTTTCCATTATGTTTCCTTTGTCCGTACTTAATTCACTTTTGATCTTTGGGCTGGCTCATGAACCACCTGAATGTGAATCTAATATGCAGTGGCGCCAAAATGGAGAAGAATCCTGACACAAAAGAATGGAGAAGGAAGCTCAAAATCAGAATAATAATAAAAAAATAATAATAAGTTCATTTGAGGCAATTTAAATCATTTTCTGCACAGGACACAGAAGAGGAAAGGCTTTATACATTAATACATGGAGAAGTAGAAGATTATATTACAACATTCTCTTTAAGTATGCTTTAGGAGTTAGGCCCTTAGGGATCATGGCAGTCTTTGGGACCTTATCAGAAAGACTCATGATAGTGCTTATACTTTATGGTGGGACTAGCCAGGCTAATCAACACCCTTCTGAGAGAAACGCTGGGGGAGGAGATTCCAAAATGGAGCAGTGATACCTACAATAAAATTACAGTTGAGGGTGGGCCAGTCTGATTAATTATAATGAGCTCTGGGTCTAGGGGAGAATTCTCTTTTCCAAAAAACAAAGTTGATTTAAAGCATGGGAAATTTTGGTCTCAAGTCCTTGAGTCAGTGTTGGCTGGGGCTGTGTCTCCTGGAGTTAGGTTAGCTTGAAGGGCAAACATCCTGCCATTCGGATCATTGGCTGCCTCAAAGTGGTCATCCCTCGAGAGGAAACGTTCTCAGCCACCTGCAAGCTTGTTAACATGGGAAAGCATCATGAAATATGAAAGACTTCAAAATCTGATGAAGAAAAACCAGATGTAATCAGGAATTTACAAATGATAAAACTAAGTCATCTTCATTATTAGCATGTAAGCAAACATTACTTAGATTGTAAATAAAACATGACAACTTGGTCTAGACATTGGGGAAATTGACTTACATAAAAATTTTATGAAAAGTTCATTGAATGAGCTTATCAATGAAATGCTGTATAAAGACAGTATTATTAAAATTGTCCTTAGTGAAATAAGATAAAGAAAAATACTGCAAATTATGTTACATTTGTGGAAGCGAAAAGATGAAAGCTCATCTGAACATGTAACGGTGATTACTAGAGGCTAGGATGGTTAGGGGAGGAGATTGAATAAAGTGTGTGAAATAAATTATATCAAAGAAATAAACTCCTGGTATTACAGAGCATAATAATGAGGCTACAGATCACAACAATCAAGTAGATAGTGCATAATCAAATGTAAGAAATGAGGAGAAAATATTGATTGCTTCATCTTCATCACTCTCAATGTCGACATGTATTTAAATGTCACACTGTAACCCAAACATAGGTACAACTTCTGTTAATAATTTGAAAAAACAAAAAATAAGTTGTTAGGAGAGAAAATTAGGAAACTTCCGTAAATAAGCATCACTAACTGTATTTTTTTTTCACTGTTCTCTCCTAGACCATGCCTGTGATCTTAGGCCCATACATATCTTCTTTTCATTCATTCTGGATTTTAGATTTGGATTTGCCAGTGCCACCGCAATGTTAACCCTCCCCCAACCTGTTACAAACAGAAATATCTTTTGGTAATTTTGTGGGTTTTTTTTTTTTTTTGATTACTAAATTTTACATTTGTAACGGATCTGAACAAGCAATGACTTTGCTAGGAAAGTCTCTTTCTTCATTGGATGCTTGGAAATACTTGGGAAACATACATAACTACAAACTTTGTACAGCTGCCTCTGCAGGTGCTTTGCCCGGCTTAGCAGGCTCCAGTCGCACCTGGGGTTCATCTTTGGCTCACAGTGATGTCACTCGCCCCTGGCCATCTAATCCTTACTTTGAAGATGAACATACTATTTACGTATCCTGAAGCATTCCTGTCAACAGATCAACTGTCTCAAATACGACTTCTCATCAAGGCAGTGTCATGGAGAGCCAAGGGGAATCAGAGCTTAAAGCCTGTATTTTGTGATATAATTTTTAGAAAGTGATTAAGACATATCAGAAAATAAATTTTGATTAATTTTAAGCCATTATTCTTTTCATCACCTCAAAAATAATAATGTCTGTTAGGGGGTTATGAGAGGAAAAATAACGGTATTGAGTGACCTATAAAATGTTCATTTACTATTAAGTGAACACTCTATAATTTGTTTTCTCCAAAATAAAGCATTTGGCACAGAAGGCTAAAATTTATCCACGTATAAACATTCAGGAATTAAAAAATTTTGCTTTGGTAGTTTATTTTGTAACAATAAATATAGTCAAATTAGGGTAAAAAAAAAACTAAACTAAAAATAAGAAGGCAGTTTTTTTTTTTTTTATGTGTATGTGGCATCCAAACTCAATATGTGTTCTATTTGGTTAAAACTAGGTACAAAAATTAAAAAAAAAAACAAGAAAAACTTTATGAGCATGTAAACAAATCTTTTCAATACTAAAATAAATTTAACTTTCTTTTGATTCCCTTCAATAATGGGAAATGTCTGGTTTTGCAAGTGGAATATTAGGATATTTCACTGACAGTGAATGAATTCTAATGCAATCACACTGTGTACTTCTGCAATCATTTTTGCCTCTACATGATATTAACTGGATTTCTTCCAAAACACATTAGGCTGGGTATGCTCTTTGTTTTCTTAAAATGTTACATTAGCCACTTGCCTCCTAAAATTCACTCCAGGCTTTTGTTTACAGCCATTAAGTGTACTTTAGCACTTTCACTTCACAGTCAATTAGAAAGTTTTGAAACATGCGTTAGCAAACCTTTGAAAAGCCAAAATATTAAGTATAAATGAATCCATCTGTTTCCCCTATCCCAAGGGGGAAAAATCTCAGGAGGCTTCAGAAACTGTGCTATTATTCTGAAGAGACAAATACAGAGGAAGGGGAAGACAGTGAACAAGATAGAGTCCTGAACATTCAGGATGATGTAAGTGCTTTTGATCAAGGTTTCTCTTTGTTATGGTCATGTACTGTACTGTATTCTGAGGGCTAAAGTCACATTGTGCAGGAGAGAGCCCTACCTTCACTACTTGTTATACATACAACAACAACAACAACAGAAAAACTCCGATAGGTTCAACTATGCATCTCTCTAGGATTTTGCTACATGTTTCAATACATCAGCAAGAATATAAAGAGTTGCATGTCACTCTTCTTTGGCAATATGTCATAGATACGCCTGTGCATTAATCTCTTCGTTGCTATTTAGCTGGCTGACATTAGGTAGACACAACCCGTACTTCTAAATCATTACTGCAATTTTCAAACAATATGAGCATCCCTAGTAGTTGTATAACTTTGGTTAATAGTTACAGTTAAACCTGTCAATCCACATTGGCTTATATCTCTACATTTAGCAGGAACTATATTTTCGAGTGCTAATAGCTCTCCGTTCTGATAAGGTTGGATTCTCACTCTCCCGTGGTCACATCACGACTGGCTGATGAGCCTCGTAGAAAATTATGGCACAGATAATGGACTATTCAGGATCGCCCTTTCCCTACTACTCCTTCAGCTTTTCAGCTATTCAACACATAATCTAGAAAGTAACTCCATTTCCTGGTTATTTTAATGCCCACCTGATTTCTGTCTATTCATGGCAAATTTCTTTGAAAAGTTACTGCAATCATTCATACACGACGTTTATTTTCAAAGTGCAAGTGTTTAGCTTTGTAATAATAAACGTGGCTGATGACTGGCAACCTCACGCACCTTGCCTTAATCCTGGGACACCACATGATGAAGCAGAGAAATTTCAGCTCCAATTAGAGGCCAAATCGCTAAAGTCCAAGTCTAGTCTGACATTCGGAGCACAAATCTCGGCAGAGAGCTCTCTCACCTACTGAAATGAACCAGTAAGTCAGCATTAGAAGTGAAGTGGCAAAGGAAAGCATATACGGATTGTGAGAAGATATAGCACGAGAAATCCTGAGCATTAATCCGGCTCCTAGAAGCTTTGGTTGCCATAGCAACTGCGGGGCGCCGGCTTCCGCCCCGCCTACTTCCCTTGCAGGTCCCGCCCCAGTCACGCCCCCAACTCCCAGTGACTTCTCATCATCCCTCCACCTTACTTCCGCCCCAAACTGCCTTCCAGGACCTAGAGTACTACTGTTCATGACAACACGCTATCTGCCTGACTAAAAAAATGTGACAGAATAATGATGAAACTTAGGGAAGCGCTCCTTTTCTACGATGTACACCGTCTCCTAAGACGGCTATGCTCAGGGACTGGTCACTTGTCACTTGGAGCCTCCGCGGGGCATGAGACCCTGGGGGCCCGTGTCAGGCACATCCTTAGACAGCCCCGCAGCGCCTGCGGTCCCCGGCTCGCCGAGGGCGACGTGGAGCTGAACGGGGCCGGGCGGCGTTCGGGAAGGCCGAGGAAGCGGGGCTACCTGGCCGAGCTACCATGTAAGGGTCGGCCTGCCCGCCACCTCGGTGCCTGCTTCTCACGGTGCCGTTCTAACTCCCGCTCTCTTCCTCAGGTCGAAGGTCTCCTTTAAGATCACGCTCACGTCCGACCCGCGGCTGCCCTACAAAGTGTGAGTAGTAGGCTGTAGGGGCTGGGCGCCGGCCTGCCCTTCTCCCCTTGCAGGATCCCCTCGCTGGCAGTCCCGGGGTGTCCGCGTGGACCGGGCCCGGGGCCACCGCGTCTCTCCCGACCTCCCCGGGAAGGGAAGGACGGCTCGGGCAGCGTCCTGGGCTGCTGAAGCGCTGTCTGCTGGGTCCCCCACGGGCCTCTCAGCACGCCGAGCAGCTGTTACAGCAGACTCTCCCGGATCCGACTTCTGCACAGACAGAAAGCGTGTTCAGTAGGAGTGGGGAGGAGGGATGATGCCCTGGGATGGGTGGTCTGGCCGTGGACCCGCGGGGACCTTCCTTGGGTGGTAACTGACGGTGTGGACATCATGACAGGTGCAGGTCCCGAGCCAGGCAGCAAAGCCTTGGCCTGGAGCAGGGCTCGCTCCCTCCGCTCCCTGAGTTTCATTGACTTGCCATGCATGCGACATCCCATCCTGGAAGTATTCATGGTCACAGCTTAGAACCTTAAGATGTACCTAAATGTCATTTCAAAAGTTTTTTTTCAAAGGTAGGAGGTTGCGCATCTATTGTTTCATGCCCTTATGCCAGCCTGTAATAGCCAGGGCCGGGCCCACTTTGAAGCCTGGATCCCAGGACTCAGGCCACATTTCTCTCTGGGTGGCGGGGACCCAGCTCACCCCTGGAGCTGTTCCCACTGGCACAGCTGGGCCCAGGCACCTGCACTCAGCGGGAAGCGGCCTGCCGGGTTATCACTGTGCCAAACATCCAGCCCAAGAGAGATGTTCCTAGAATCTCTCTTGTAGTTCCACAGTTCATTTCCCCTTTAACCTTCAAGCGGTCAGAAAGGAATTCTGTGACGATTCTTCCCGCAGGATCGTAACCACCATTGCAGAGCTCAGCCGCACTGCAGGATCCGACTGTTCCTACAGAAACCAGTGGCTACACTGGGCTCTGGGTCGGTTCTGCTTAACTGCTAGGGTTAGAGCAGATACAATCAAGAGACCGCTTTGCCTTCCTCCTTGGTTTCTCTCTTTCTGTACCGAGTGATGCCCTTGTCTGTCCTCTCGCTAAAGGACATTGTGTGCAGCAAGATAAGGATTTGTAAGAGCGCCTGGGTGATGGTACTACCTCAGTTCAGATGGGGGAGCTGCATGGGTTCAATTGGCATAGCCATTATATCTCCTGTTATGTTGACATATCTGTAATTTATAAAGGCGTAAGTGTAAAACATACATGTGTATGTGTGCATAAGTATACTTAGTGCTGTGTTATCTACTCAGTAAGTGGTAACCAGCAATTAGGTACAGAATTAGGTAAGTAGATATTTACAATTAAAAACAATTCTAAGATGAGTGGGAAAGCATATTTTCACTTTTTGAGGTCACTTTTTTCAGGCAGTGGACGTGTACCACTGTTCAGTAGCATTACTAATGGTTAAATTCTAAAAAAGAAAAAAAAAACAAGCGTTTTAGTTCTGAGTTTATGTTGAGGCTGTCAGTGTGTTTGTGGACAATTGGACTCGCTGTTGGTGTTGAGATTATTCTGGTGTTAAAGGAGACGTTGTCTTAGGACGGGTGTCGGGGGCAGTGGCTCGGTGCTCCCATTTTTTAACTTTTCATTAGAGTCAACAGTTGCAGTGTGCAGTCAAACGACTGTGCTCGGTAGCTAAAGATTTCTTTATTTAGGTTGCCAGCAATAACAGAAATGAAGAAAAAGGGGGCTTTAAAACATCAACTGAGAGAGGAAGGGAATATTACTGCATTTTTAGAATTCTATCTATAAACCATGCAAGAAAAAACTAGTGGGAAATTTAAGAAAATAAAATCAACTATTGAAAAGTCTTCTTCATTCTTTTTGCAGACTCAGTGTTCCTGAAAGTACTCCCTTCACAGCAGTCTTAAAGTTTGCAGCAGAAGAAGTAAGTAGGGAAGTTGGAGCAACCTTTATGAGATACAATTATGAAAAATTAATGGACATATATTTCAGCAACCATTGGAAATTTGGTTCCTTGAAATTGAAAATGTACCAATGATAAGTTTAATTTTGAAAAAGCAATATTTCTATACTAAACACTATTCAACTTCTTATTTTTTCTTTCTAGTCTTGATTCTGGAAATTATTGTTTTTAAATTCTTTATTATGTTTTTAAAATTTTCTATGTAAACATGTATACTTTCAACATTTCTTGTTATAAAATGCCCAGTGTTCCTCAGGGCTGTGGGCTCTGGAGGATAAAGGATAAAGCGGCCATCGGAAATTCTGGCATGTGCCATGGCTGCTGCTTCATGTCCTGGCGACCCTTCTTGTCCAGCTCTCTGCTGATGACCTGGAAAAAGCAAGAGAATACGGTCCAAATGTTTGGCCTTGTGTCACCCTTGTGTGAGACCCGAATGAATTTTGTGGACTCCACCCAGCCCAGCCCTGGTGTGGCAGCCATCTAGACAGTGAACCAGCAGAAAATCTTTCTCACTGTTTGTCTAGCCCTGTCTCCCAGTGATTCTTTCAAATAAATAAATAAAAATATTAAAAAGTTTAAAATTTTTTTTTTTCATCTAGAATTAAGGATCCATAAAGCGACTTATTCTAATGGCACGTGGAAGAGTCGCTTGATGTGTAGAACCGACACCAGAATGCAATTTGGGAGACAGTATCCATGTTTTCGTTGGTTCATGATGTGGAACAAATTCCTTAAACTTTCTCCCAGTTTCTTAATCTAAATGGGAGTAAATGCTTGCTTTTCCTAAATGATTAAATGATTTCATGTAAAAATGTAATTTTGTAGTGAAGGTGAAAAGTGCTAGAAGTTCAGAGTAACTCAGTGCAAATGCTTTGGTTCAGAATCTACAGAAAACTTCCTAGGTAGGGGCCGGCACGATGACTTACATGGCCAGTCCTCCACCTCCAAGTGTGACATTCCATATGAGGCCCAGTTTGTGTCCCAGATACTCCCCTTCCATCCAGCTCCCTGCTTGGGGTCTGGGAAAGCAGTAGAGGACAACCCAAGACCTTGTACCCCTGCACCTGCATGGGAAACCCGGAAGAAACTTCTGGCTCCTGGCTTTGGAGCTGCCCAACTCATGCTGTTGTGGTCATTTGAGAAGTGAACCAATGGAAAGCTCTTTCTCTCTATAAATCTGCCTTTCCAATGAAAATAAATCATAAAAAATAAAATAGCTTTATAAAGAAAAACAACATTAATAGCTAAATGAGTAAGAATCCACCTATAATCCTGCTCTGAGGTCAACTTTGTGAAGGCAACTAATTGTTGCCAGGGTCCATCGATTTAGAACTAAGCTGCAAAGGAGTGAAACTAGCATTGGAAAAAAATTTTTAAATATTTATTTATTATTTTTATTGGAAAGTCAGATTTACAGAGATAAGGAGATGCAGAGAGATAGATCTTCTGTCTGTTGGTTCTCTCCCCAACTGAAGACAATGGCTAGAGCTGAGCTGATCCGAAACAAAGAGCCAGGAGCCTGCTCCCGGTCTCCCATACAAATTCAGGGTCCCAAGGCTTTTGGCCGTAATCAACTGCCTTCCCAGGCCATAAGCAGAGAGCTGGATGGGAGGTGCAGCAGCCGGGACACAAACTGACAACCATAGGGGATCCTGATGGATGCAAGGCGAGAATTCACTCAATAGGCCATCACACCAGACCCTTGTTTTTGATGTGTTCTTTATGCAGAAAAAAATGGACACAAATCTGAGTATGGCATCATCACTTTTTAAAAAAATACTTATTTTATTTATTTGACAGGCAGAATGATAGAAAGAGACAGAGAAAGCAAGAGAGATTCCATCTCCTAATTTACTGCCAAATACCCATATCAACTGGCACTTGTCCAGACCAAAGCCAGTATCTGGAAACTCTTTTGAGTCGATTGTCTGGGTGGCAGGGTCACTTTCCACTGCTTTTATAGGCACATTGCCAGGAGGATGGAACCAGACAGCAGCCAGCACTCCAGCTGGCATCCCAGTGCTGTCTGCATCACAAGTGTGGCTTAGCCTGGGGCGCCAGGATGTTGAATATGGCATCAGTACTTCTACAGCTACACATTGGATGACTTGGAAGAACTTATTCTTGGTCAGGGGTATAGAATATCTCATTCCACTTTTAAGAAATAGATTTGGGTAAGGTGTACTTAAGGTGTATTACTGTAGTATATTCTGTAGTAATATGATACTGTGGCCTCTAAATTGCAGAGACTGTTTTAGTCTTGCTCTTTTAATTAAAAGTACAAGAAAGTTGCAGAAGTGTTTGGCCCTATGGCTGAGACGTTGGTTGAGATACCAATATCCCATATTGAAATGCTTGGGTTCAGATTGCTTCTCCACTCTAGTTGCAGCTCCCTGTTAATACACGCTGCGGGAAGCAGCAGGGGAGGCCTGGAGCGGCTGGGCCCTGACCACCTTCCCAGGAAGCCCGTTGGAGTGCCTGGTTCCTGGTGTAAGCCCAGGGCTGCCGGGGATCTTACGAGTGTTTGGATAATGAAACAGTGCATGGGACATATGTGTTTGCTTGTCTGTCTGCCTGCCTTTCAAATAAATGCTTTAAAAAAAAAAGGAGAAAATCCTAATAGTCAAACAATGGAAATAAACTCTGCAAAGCCACAAGTATTGATTAGCATTTTAATGCAGCATGTAGCTATCATGAATCATGACTTTTTCAATTTTAGGGGCATTTTGATTGTCAGGCCCTGCAGAACAAGTTATTTCAGTGATGAAACTGAAAGCTTTAATGTCATAGTTAACTTGAGAAGCGAGGAGTCTAGATTTATTTTCATGAAATACTCTTTAGAAATAATAGTTTAAGTGAAGGATTATTAAAACCTGAGAAGCATCTTAAATTATAGGACTTATGGAATGTGAGGCAGTAATAAATAGAAACTGAGAAATACAAATAAGTTTTATGTTTAGGAGAAAATGTCCCGGTGCTGTAGGGCAGCGTGAGCAGTTACTGCTGCCCTGGACGCAGCCTGGCCGGTGGCCTCCATATTCTGCTGAAGGTAACTGTCTGGTTGCTTTGGCTGTTTAGTTGTAGCAGACATTTTACTGCCACATGGATGTGACCAAGAAAATACCTACCTTACCTTGAAGTGACTGTGGTTGAGGAGTAAACTCATTTGTAAGTAAAAATTTTGTAGAATCCCAGTTTTGAAAGTAAGAGGTGGCCTGTAGTTAGTAGAGGCATTTGATTACAGCTTTATTGAGATTATATTTCTAAGTTGTAATATTTTGAATTTGTTTGAAATTTAAAAATCTTTAATCATATCGTAATAGTGAAGTGACTTATTATGCATTATATGATGTAGCAAGCTATTGTTTTATATATTGATAAATTCTTATTTGAATACCAGTTCTTTATTTCATAGTTTAAAAGTTTGTTCTTTTTTGCAACCATGTTTGGCCTATATAAACGCCTCGTTCAGTGTGTTTCAGAAAACTGGAACCACACCCTTAAAGGAGATGAACACATGCCACCAAAGGAAAGGCCATGAGAATCTGGGATTAATGACTGTGAAATTTAGGAAAAACTTTGTTCACTATATCTTTCTTAATTTTTGACAGTATGTTCAAAGATTTCATTACGTTCACTAGTTTGATGAGGTGTTTCCAAACTTATTTGATCACAAAATTCAACTACAGTATTTATAAAATAATCCATACAACAAAAGTGCTTAATAAATAATTGTTGGTAGATTAATAAACCATGACGACCTGAACACACTCCCAACCATTGATCCCTTTAGCATCAAGAGGTGGAGTGTGCCTTCTGTTTCCAGTAAGTTCTGGGCAACATTGCACTGATTTTTACTACATAACCTGAAATGGGTTAAAGGATTCTCTTTAGCACTGTTGGCTGTATGGCTGTCATATGTTGGTGTCCTTCACATTGGCTGCCGCCAACTGAATTTAGATGCTGTTTCCCAGTGAATTGAGCTAGTGTAATCTTGAGGTTTACGTCATTGAATCGGTTAGAGATTCTTGTTACCAGAAAAAATCTGTTGAAGTCACCTCCTGTTAAATACAAGAAAACATCCATTTGGAATTTGTTAGACTTGCCATACAGTATCTTTTGGGCGTAGTCTAAAAACAATGTATGTTGTTTACTTTTGGTGCATAAGAACTGCATCTGATAACAGTGGCTTGTCTGGAAGAATAGAGCTTGTTGGCACAGACTGACAGTGTGGTATGAAAATAAGGTACATTTCACAATCAGTGGTATCCTAAACAAAATCAAATGCTTTGTTGGATAATGGTGTGATTCTTTTAAGATTAAACAAATGATAGCTTCTTTGGTAGCGTCATGTCTTCTGAAAACAAATCACATTTTAGAATCACAGGATTGTTTAAACTCCGTCCTTGCTACTCATCTTGCTTAGCTACATAAGTGTGTTCTGTTCTGTTCTTCGTTTTAGTTTAAAGTTCCTGCAGCAACAAGTGCAATTATTACCAATGGTAAGAATTTATTTTCAAGTCATTATTCATCTCTGAAAAATTTAAATTGCACCATTTGCATTAAACTGAATGCCACTAGAGTTCAATGAAATAAACCAGACAGAGAAAAACAAATGCTTTCTGTTCTCTCTTATAAGTGGGATCTATAAAAAGGTTGAAACACAAATGCCTAAATGCGGAGGTTTTTTGTCAAACTGTTTTATCAAAATTGTAAAACTCAAAATAAACCACATTAGTTAAAATTGAGTTAAATATCAAAAACTCCTGATATAAATGATGGACACATCAGAAGGCAGATGCTGAGTTATTGTCTGTAATTATACTATGCTTTTTTTTCCTTGTGTCTATATCAGTTGATGCCAGTTTGTTATTCAGAACAATTTTCTATTAAGATTTTTTTAAGAAAAATGTAATGCTGCATTGATAAACGGTTTGGATGTCGAAAGTGAGGCAAGATGTGCCTTATTACATACCAGCTAGGTGTGCAACTAAAAATTGAGTATCTTGAGATACTGATAATAACTAAATAAATGTGAATAACTAAATAAATAAATTTATATAAATTAAATAAATAAATTTATTTAGTTATTATGCAAAGCTCTGTGGCGTGGGCTGTGTGCTCGCAGGACGAGCTCGGTGTCTAGGGGTGTGATGTCACTCAGGTAGGACAGGATTTCTCCGTGAAATAGCCTACTGTCACATTGACGTGTTTGCTCAGAAGAAAATGATCTCACTTTCTTTTAACATTTTACCTTTGTAAGTGAAAAACCCCTAAGGAAGTTTCATGAAAGTTTGAAGTGCCAGGGAAACTTAAATTAGCCGGGATTGGAGGCTCTCCTAACTGCAGGACTGTATATGTCGCAGTAATGTGGGACTCATCAGTGATATCCACAAGTAACTTTCAGACTTTGGGAAGAAATGACAGATATTTTTCACAACATGTGATTAAAAAAAAAAAAAGAATGAAAATTTATTTTGTGTAACTCACTAAGGTTATTACTAAGATTATATGCTCTTTCTCTAGCAGTGTGTACATGCATGGTAATAGCATATTCCAGCAGCTTACTCACCTGAAAGATTGCCTTTCATGTTCTGGAATTTAAGGCGTTTGGCTTGTGCCTGCATACACAGCAGCACTGTTTTGGCAGGTCTCTTCTTGTTACTGTTAAGCCGTTTTAACTGCAAAAATAACTGAGACGAATCTGCACCTTCCTTTCTAGATGGCATAGGGATAAATCCCGCACAGACTGCTGGTGAGTGTCTGCAAACTCATAAAGCTGGGAGTGGGCCTGGGAGGCACTTGGCACTGAATGGTGAATTCACTCTAATTGCTCCTGGATTTTCATAGAATGTAGCTTTTTTTTTTTTTTAAAGATATTATATAGCAGTCCTTAACTATGTGTATCTGTTACATGTTTTAGGCTGTGATTATAACACAAGGTTAAATAATAGTTGCTTAAACATTAGTTAATACATATAATGAAAATCTTAAATTTGTGCTCTTAAAGGAGTAGAATCATTTACATTCAGTGAACTGAGTCCATGCTCAGCTTCAAACTGTTAACATTATTATTGTGAAGCAAAAGGTGCTCAGAGCAGGCATGGTACAAAGTCGTGCTGTACTTTTCAAGTTGTCTTGAACTATTTATTTGAGAAGACAGAGCTCTTTGTTGGTTCAAAGTGTCTGCATGACTGGGGCTTGGCTGGCTGAAACAGGAACTCGGTGCGGGTCTTCTGCCCGGATGGCAGGCACGCGGTAACCGACCACTGCCCTGCTCCCGGCTCGGCATGCGCAGTAACCAATCAGGAGCCAGCTGCGGCCCTACCAGGCGTATGCATCCTGAACAGCTGAACTGCTGCCCTGCCTTCTTGCCCGGAAGCTTGTTTTGTTTTTGTTTTGTTAAGCTGTATTTATTTTTACTGGGAAGGCAGCTATCCAGAGAGGAGAAGAGACAGAGAGGAAGACCTTCCATCCGATGGTTCACTCCCCAACCAGTCACAACAGCCGGAGCTGAGTCAATCCAAAGCCAGGAGCCAGGAGCTCTTCCGATTCTCCCACGCTGGTGCAGGGTCCCAAAGCTTTGGGCCGTCCTCGACTGCTTTCCCAGGCCACAGGCAGGGAGCTGGATGGGGAGTGGGGCTGCCGGGATTAGAACCGGCGCCCATATGGGATTCCGGGCATGCAAGGGGAGGACTTTAACCACTATGCTATTGTGCCGGGCCCAAACTTGTTTTTTCATAGTTTTATGTTTTTAAGTATACTAGTTGAAGGTTATAATTGAATTATAATATTTTGAAATTGCACATAAGCTGTACTTATTTTTGTATTTTTATATTATAAAATTTACTATATATTAGAGTATTTCTGAGCCATAGCAAAGTGATACTTTCTGTAGGGACCTTTGGTGAAACTCAGCCTTAATTGGAAATCATACAAATAAGTGAAATTTCTAAAATCTTGTTATTTAAAGTTTTAAGTGTATAATTTCATAAAATTTAAAACATTTGAGAAATTGTGAAGTACTTTATAGTATAAGATAAATATATATTATATATCACATATATAAAATGTGTAATATTGTTCAGTTTAGAACTGTTTTAACATAGTGTTCAATTTGTTTTATTCTAGAAATTTTTTGTGGTACCTACTAGTTTTAATTACTACTTTAAAATGTTCTTTTTAAAAACTGAATTATGCAGATTGTAAGTGTTGAAGATAATTAGAGCAAGCGGCTGAGCCAGACTATCAAGCAACATTTTTGTCACCTACAATAATTTAGATTTCTTGTTGAATTCATTCTTAAGGATTTTATTCTCTATGAATGTGTGTATGTGTGCGTATTTAAATATGTATATGTGCTAATACTTGTACTTTTCACTACATTGTGTTACATGCCATGATTGCTTGAGTATTAAGATGGCCTTTTCTGAGATAGCTAACTTTATGCTTTGTTTGTTTGCCTAGGAAATGTGTTTCTAAAGCATGGTTCAGAACTGAGAATTATTCCTCGAGATCGCGTCGGGAGTCGTTCACGGCTGCTGCTGGAAACATACCTGTCACAATAAATATTGATACTTTTTGTTATAAAATTGAAATCAGGCCTTTCACATGCTGTGATACAAGAGTCAATGAAATAGTGAAAAGTGCTTCTCCTCTCCGTTCTTGCTTACATCCCTGTGCTGAAGGATTGCTGACGCGCTGAGGTCATGGCCAGCGGGCGGGCCGGGCCACCTCACAGACAGGCAGGTGCTCGCGTGCAGTGGACGGGTTAGCAGGCTGGAGCTGGAGCATGCTTCTGATCATTTTTTTCTGAGAACATTTGCAAAATTAAATTTACTCAGTCTTAAATGTTTGTCTTTGAGTTAAAAATATAAAATCATTTAGCATCATAAATGGCAGTTTGCAGCGTCTGACTTGGCAGACTCAAATAGTGTGAGTCTTGTAGTTGATGAAGGTGATTGATGCTGTCTTATTTAGGTTGTTTTTAAGTTTCAAAACTCCATGAGTCACATGAAAGAACAAAAACTGTTTAATCATTCATGTGTGTGTGTGCCACACCGTTGTTTTAGTGGCCATCTTACAGGATCCAAGTTTCTAATGGTGAGAATCAACGATCTAGAAGCTTCCTTTGTTAAGCTATGCTTTTCTTTATCAGTTGATTTTAGTGCAATAACATGAAGAAAGCACTACCTTCTAAATAGCATTCGGAAATCATGTTGCCAAAACTGGAATTTACAATAAAGTTAAAGGAAATGCAACCAGTTAACACTTGCCTAAGGCCTCAGCTTGTAAGGAAGCACTAAAATTAATGCAGCTGGATAAATAGCCAGGAAAGTAAGAATGGGAAAACCCTCAGTCAGGAAGGAAAGCAAGGAAGCTGAACAGTGGAGGGGAACGGGAACGGAAGGGGAGGAACTTGAGATGGCTCGGAAGAGGCCCATGGCATCAGTCAGCTGTGGGCAGAGGTGTGATGGGCAGAACTGAAAGGAAAAGCAGACTGCCCTACAATGACATGCACGTACACCTATGGCAGTTAGAGCAACGAAGGGATAGGCCCTGCCAGGAGACAGGTTACAGAGTGTCCCTAGGGCATTGCAGAGTGACATCCACAAGGATTTTGTCATTCCAGAAGCATTCAGTAGCTGCAGGTCGTGAAAGATGAGCCACAGCGAATCAGAATCCCTGCTAGGTTAGCTCTGTTCTGAATGATAAACCTCAAGGAGTAAAGACCGTATCCTGGGCCTTCCTGCAGCTAAGATTCTCATACTAGGTTTCATAATTTCCCAATGCAGGCTCTTGATTCATTGAAAAAAAAATGCAACATAATAGTATACGTATTGATGCCACTAATTAAGACATTTCCAGATCGTGCTCGTAAAGCGGACAGTGAGCAGGATTCTGAGGTCACCACGGGAAGCTTGCCGAGTTAGGAAAGAATGTGAAAAGGAGTTTTTAGAAACAATATCTGATGCTCAAAAGGCCCTTGTTCCTTACAGAATAGCCTCAACCACAAGTTTGTGTATACTGTTTCCCCCCAATGTTTTAATTGGACTATTTTCCAATAGTTTGTAACAGAAAAATCTGCTTGCTGTGTTGCGTAACTAAGTTTGTACCGTCCTGTGCCATTAAAGCATTTAGTTATATTTTTGTTCCATGGTTTTGAAAAGTATATATTGTGGCAAGCCCTTTAAAAAACATTTTATTAGACTAAGTATTTTGTTATTAAATCCAAATGGTCTGTAGATTCTTTGTGTAGAATTTTTAAAGTATTGTACTTAGCCTAAATGCATCCAAGGCCCTTAATTACTTTATCGTATAAAATACACTTTGTTGTACTATACACCGTTTTGACTACTCTTATTTTATTATCAGAGTTCTTAATCAGCACGTTTCTTGAGCCACTGTAGAAGTATAGTTAAGAGGGTATGGGGGATGACAGGGGAAGTTTAGAGGACCGGGTTATGGTAGTTAACTATGCTGAGCTGAGCAGTTGTCAGAGTTACTGGGAGTTAACAGATTCTGGGGCCCGGCGCTGTGGCCTAGTGGCTGAAGCCTTGCATGCACTGGGATCCCACATGGTCGCCAGTTCTAATCATGGCAGCCCTGCTTCCCATCCAGCTCCCTGCTTGTGGCCTGGGAGGGCAGTCAAGGACAGCCCAAAGTCTTGGGACCCTGCACCCCTGTGGGAGACCCGGAAGAGGCTCCTGGCTCCTGGCTTCAGATGGGCTCAGCTTCAGCTATTGTGGCCACTGAGGGAGTCATCAACGTAGAAGACAAGATATTCCTCTCTCTCTGCTCGTCTCTGCATATCTGACTTTCCAGAAAAAAAAAAAAAGAATATGGATTTTGTAAATGGTGAGTCATGAAATGTGAATTGCTACTACAGGGACCCCGGAAGAGCAGTGTTATGATTGCCGCTGTGTAGGCAGTTTGAACATTAAAGCGGCCCATTGTTATGTTTGTAGATGAAGAAAACCAGGTCTAGGAAACTGAGGTAGGGCAGGTTCTAGAATGTTCAACAGAGTATTTTTCACTTCCTGGTTCTCTGCTAAAGTGTCAACATGTAATGATGGTGGCTAACAGTCTTGCTAGTGTGAAGCCTCCTAAGAATGTACATTCTTAGGAATCAGTTTTTTTACATATTATATTTGTTAGAATTATTTATTCAGAAGAAACTTTAGTCCTATTTAAACCTCTCCTAAATTATTAAAACTGTCTACCAATTTTTTTACCCAAGAATCTTGAAGTTTTTGTAAATTACAAGTGTTAAAGGAAGCTGTTGTTCAAAGCCATTTGCCTGTTGAACATTCATGTCGTATTTTGATAATCCCACTCATCTCATTTTTCACACCAATGCCAAATACCCCCATTTTATAGAAGAGGCCTGAAGAGTTTGAAATCTGAAATGTGAACCTATTCTATGACCATAAAATTCTGTACATCTTTCTCAAACTTTTTTCAGTATCTTTTTTGCAGTATATTAGATATATATTGAATTATAATTCCATTTCAGAATAAGGATAATGTGCATCATGTTAATGGATAGTATAACTTTTATTTATTGATAATTTTGAAAGATTTTTCTGAGAATCAGAATAATAGAGATCAGAGCTCTTTCATCCATCAGTTTCATCCCCCTAATGGCTATAGCAGCCAGGACTGGGCCTGGCCAGAGCCAGAAACCAGATGTAACTAGAAAATTCTAGATTAAATGTAAACCAACTCCTAAAGAATGTCATAAAGAAAATGTGATTTTCTTAAATTCAAATTAGAATTTAAGAAGGTCAGAAAGAAGAAAGCAAGCATACTTTTGTTCTGTTGAACTGTGTTTCCCACCACTCACGGTAATATCAAACAGAGTAAAGGGTCATGTGAAAAAATTGTAAAGGGTAATACAATACAGGAACCTGTATAAAATCATTTTCCATTAGATAATCAAAGTCTACATTAATGTAAATGAATCTATCTTAGCTTCAATGAAAGTCACTGATTCTTTAAGGGATCCAAACCAATAAAGAATGGATGTGTAAGAATAGAAAAACAAAAAATGTAAACCAACTAATGGTACTAGGACCTCTGTAGGGTAGCTGATTGGGAGCAGGGACTGTCCCAACACATTTCTTTTTTTTTCCTTGGCCTCTCTCTCACACACATATTTTCATTTTATTAGAGAAAGATCCTGTGTCTACTGGGTCACGCCCCAAATGCCAGGACAGATAGGTTTACGCCAAGCCAGTTTAAAGAACCTTGAGTTTTATCTGGGCAACAGAGATCCAAGCGTTTGAGGCACCCCCTCCTGTTAATGGAATGCACATTCGCAGTAAGCTGGATGGAAGTAGAAGAGCCAGCTCTTGAACCATGTGTAACGGAGTGCTTCCATAGTGGTGACATAAGTGTTGTGCCAAATGCCTGTGCCGTATGCTTTTCTGTATCTTGCAAATGCAGCTGTAGGCTTTGTTTTCTAGTAACCTACTTTTCAACCAGACCATGGTTCCTTCTAATAGGCAAATTCTACAGCTGCTGCTCTGTTGCTTAGTGCTGCAAATGGGTAAATAATGATTTACACCAAGTTATTTCTATTCTATCCTTTAACTTGCCCAGCATATCTGATTCTTGTTAGGTATCCTGTTGGTTGTGCTGAAATTAGTCCCTTCTCTCTGCAGCCTGTTGGGACAGTCTCCATTTCCTCTTTTATACTGTCACTCCAATGAATTTTTTAATGTGGGAAAGTGGTCATGTAGTTCCAGTTGTCACAATCCTTCTGAATAAAAACCTTTGTTTTTCACAACCTTTTCAGATGACTAGCACGCATGTTTAATATCACTCGTCATTACAGTTTATTTCAGTTTACACAGCATTTGCCCTGAACTGTGCTAATAATATTTAGTATTTCTGATATACATCTTGTGACTTTCATGCCTGTATTTCATCATTTGATTAAAAAAAACCCTAGGATTCATATTCAATGCGATTAATCATTTCCTCATTTTTTCCAGGGTTGAATCAGGTATTTAACTTTCTAAACAAATATTGCATTTTGTACCTTCTTCCATTACAGCAATGGTTAAATATAGAATCTAACTGATAACACTTTTTTAAAGTCTAAAATCATAACTTGAAACAGGGTTTCCAAATTGTCTTACTCATTGTAGCTCAGAAGTGCTTTATAACTGAGAGTACATGAAGCAAAGAACGCCTTGAAAATTGGAACAATTTGTGTCTCATACACAGCACAGCGACTTCTTTTGTAGCAGGAACTTTCTGTCTCAGCAGTGAACTAGACTTTTTAAAATGTGAAATACTCATTTCGATATTTATTATTAGCTATATACCACATATTGTTAAAAGACATGGGATAAAATACAGTTAAGACTCATTCCTTTTTTCCTGCGTTCCCTATAATTACACACTTCAGAAACAGCAAAGTTACCCAGGGGGAGCATCATGGATGTGCAGGTATGTCCCTAGGCCTTTTTTATGGGTGAGGTACAGACAGTAAGGGAAGTCACAGATACTATTTAGTTTCGTCACAAAGTGGTGCTGTTAATATCTTCGCTGTACTGTTTAAGGAAGCTGAAATTCACTTTCATTAGTCTATGATGACGAGATTGGTCCCTGCATCAGTGTGATCTTAAATCCATATGGCTACATATTGACATCATCTTTCCTGAATTTAGTTCTAATTTTTTTATTGGAAAAACATTTGAAAGTGGCCTCATAAAATACTTTGTTTGAAAATGTAGTATTCAGGGGCCCAACATGATATAGCTTAGTGGCTAAATCTTCGCCTTGCATGGGCTGGAACCCCATATGGGCACAGGTTAGGGTCCCAGCTGCTCCACTTTCCTTCCAGCTCCCTGTTTATGTCCTGGCAAAGCAGTCAAGGATGGCTTAAAACCTTGGGACCCTGCACCTGCGTGGGAGACCTGGAAGAAGCTCCTGGCTCCTGACATCAGATTGGCTCAGCTCCAGTCATTGCATGTACCTGGAGAATGCATCAGAGATCTTTCTCTTTGTCTATCCTCTCTGTAAATTTGACTTTCGAACAGAAGTAAATAAATGTGTTTTTAATGTGATATTCAGTCTACATACACTTTTGTGCTCCCTTTTAGTAAATCTGAGCATCTGTATCAACAAAGGGATTTGACAAGCAGGTGTGTGGCTGTATTACCTCTTTGCTTTGCTCTATAGAGTATGTTATAATGGATTCAAAACACCAGCCAGTTTGGCAGACAATTGCAGAGTCAGTTTTTGGCATGAGTCTTTGATTTTCTGGAAAAACTTCTTAGCAATGTAAAAGCTGTTATTGAGAGCATATTGTGATGCTACAGCTTGTCAATATTTGTTTGGCTGAGTAACACTTAGATTTAATAAATTAATTCTTAAATGTACAATTTACAACTGATGAGCTATTTCAGAAATAAGCTATGTAATTTTCTGTGCCAGTAACACAAACATTTTGACAAGTCTAAAGTGGGAATGTTAACGTCTGTTTTTTTTTTTTTTTGATAGAATTATGGACAGATTAGGACCTTTTAAAAATTATCCTTAGATATGTGCATCCTGTAAGGAAAAAGTTGTAAGGAAGAATCAGCACAAAAGTAAATCACCAAAATTATTTTAGAGAATGTCACAGTGTGTGGTGATGAGTCTGGACCACAGAAAAGTCATTTTTTTTTTCTCAAAATGACTAGGGAAATGCAGGCTTCCGCGGGCTCTGCGCACCGAGACAGATCTCGTGAGTCACTCTCACTCCCACAAAGCTTTCCAATTGGATTTTGAGTTTTCATAGTCCCAATTGTTTGGGTCTGAATAGGGAACAAAACCAAGAACTCCTTGTGGCAGAAATTGATGACATTTCTGTTGATGCTTCCCTATTTGAAATGAATAATGAAAAAAAAAAAAGCTTTTCAATTTACCCAGCACCTGTGAGCTATGAATGAATGACACCTATTTCATAGGATCTTGTATTTTGCAAGAGGTTCTCTATAGGTATCATGTATTTCCTAATTACTTCAGACTTAAGATTTATGTTTAAAATCCTTTCTGGATGCCACCTTTTTTTTTTCTGTAATCAACTCAAAATTTCCATCTATTACTCCTTACCTTTTTTCGTCTCTCCACTTTCCCTCTCCATTCCTACTCACACCAAATAAAACAGTTCTTATTCTGAAAAGTTGCCAAGTCTCTCCAAGATTTTCCTGAAACATCAACTTTATTTCAGTTTTGAAGAAATCTTTGTTATCGGCCAGGTCAAGTTTTGGCTCTGTCGCCTCACTTCACTCACTTCAACCTCATTTAGTTACTTTCGAGGTTTTTTTTTTTAACCCTAACTCCAGA